CTAAACATAGTTCTCACTGTTTTCTCCTTAAGACCCTGAGCATCCTTTGTGATGGGAGGCAATCTTCTGGCTCAGCCATATGAGCTGTGCAAGAGATCAGAGAAGTCACCTTTTCTCTTTGAGCCTTGGTTTCCTCATCTGTTAAGTGGGGAATGATGTCATCAGCCCCCTCAACAGGTTAATGTGAGGATTAAGTGAGATGATGCAGAAAATGTCCCAAGGAGGGTGTGATGGTTAATTTCATGTGTCAATTCAGCTTGGCCATAGTGCCCAGTTGTTTGGTTAATTGCCAGTCTAGATGTTGCTATGAAGGCATTTTAGAGAAGTGATGAACAATTATAATCAGTTGACTTTAAGTGAAGCATATTACCCTTTATCATGTGGAGGGACTCATCCAATAAGGTGTAGGCCTTAGAGAAAAAAACTGAAGTTTTCCAGAGAAGAAGGATTTCTGCTTCAAGACTATAATATAAGAATTCTGCCTGTTTTCCAGCTGCTAGCTGCCCTGGGAATTTCACATTCAAAACTGCAACATGAACTCTCACCTGAAGTTCTAGATTGTTGGCTTACCCTGCAGGTTTTGGACTTGCTATCCATATCTATCTATCATTTATCTATCTATCTATCTATCTATCTATCTATCTATCTATCTATATGTCTCCTCTATATATCTATTTATGTCTTTTTGGTTCTGTTTCTCTGAAGTGCCTGACTGACGAAGAGGAAGAAAAATCTGCATTTTTACGGGGAGAAGGAGTGTTTAAATAGACCGGTTTTTTTTGTTTTTGTTTTTGTTTTTAATCTTGGCTCCTCTGCTGACCCGTCTCCATGATCCTGATGCCCTAAGACTCTAGTTTCCTCACCTGCCTAAGGTCTCTTCAGACAAACACTCTGAAGATGCTTTGTCAACATCATATGGCTGCAGTCTGTTGTTATTTAGCTCTTTCTTTGAATGCACACGTCTTTAAAATTACCCTTTGGTGACCTGAGACTACAGTTCTCTAGAAGTGTCCCCTTCCCAGACATCCATTCTTGGCTGTGTCTCTAGCCAGCCTGTAGTTGGGAAGCTGATCTTGCAACAGGTAGCTATCAAGGGGGCAGAGGGGACACACCCCAGGCAGCAGTGGGCTCTGGACCCACAGGCACAGGAAGTAGTGGGGGAAGGTACAAGAAAACAGAGGAAGGAATGGCAGAGATGGAAGCAGGGTGAGAGAGGGACGGGAGAGGGAGGGAATGAGAAAGTAAGGGGCCCTGTGCAGGAGGTCCCCAGGGGTCCAGGGCTGATTGGCTGGGGTGGTTGGGCTGGCTCTGCAGATTGCAGGTTGATTGCAGATTAGCTGGGACCTAAAAAGGGCCTTGTCAGAGCGCCTGAATCTAGCGCTGAGTGCTGTTTCTCTCACCCCAGGGAAAGAGCCAATCAAACTGGAGAGGGCGGGGGAGAAGCGCTAGGAATAAACTGCCCCCTTTGCTAGGGACTCAAAGGCTGGCACTTGAGAGGGTGCAGCTTGCTGGACTGTCTGAGATGCCCCATGTTGCTTTCCGCCCCAAACTGGTGTTCTTTGTCTCATTACTCTGAACTTTTCCTGTGTATGCTTATTCCAACCTGAAATAATTTGATAATCAATTACCAAAAACTGCTCTCTCCACTAAAATGTGCCATGAAATCAAGAACCTTATCTTACTTGCTTGCTCCTGTATTCCTAGCGCCCAGCAGAGTGGTAGGTGCAGAGTAATATTCCAAAAAATGCCATTAAGGAATGGGATGGATAACAGCATTTACCAGAAACACTCTGTGTGCTCAATAAGGAGCCTGGAGCTATACAGACAGTTCAGAACAGCCCTGTGAAGGATCATCTTTTATGTTATCACTGATAAGGAAGCTAAAGCTCAGAGAGATCAAGTAACATGTCTAAGGTCATACAGCCAGAGCTGGGCTTCTAATCTAGGCTTCAGTACCAACATCATTTGATTGGCAATTGCTCTCAGGAGCTCTTGGTAAAATAGAAAATTGAGGCAGTGGAAAAGAGCGCTGAAATCAATTAGTCATGTCTGATTTAGCTGAAATCAATTAGTAATGTCTGCAAGGTGAAGTAAAACATCTAGTTATGTATGTGCCACCTATTTTAGGCTCTTACACTATATTGTATGGATCTCCCTAAGGATGATCAATAGAGGCAACAGGTTAAAAAGGAGGGGGAAGAGTGAGGGGCAGAAAGAAATGTTCTCCTTCTTTGCTGACCCGACTTTTTACTTCCTCTTGCTACACTTTTCTTTGAATGGGAACACATCTGTTACAGGCTTGTGTAGAGGCTGGAATGCAATCTCAAATACGAACAGCTTTGAAGAGTCTTGGAAACCTTGTGATACTGCTTCTTGAGCTGTCCTCATGGTGCTGGAGGGGCTCTGGATCACCTGATATTTCTGTGGGCCTCCAAAGAGGCTACTGTTCACCTTTCAGTGAAAGCAAGGTGTTCTGGTTTGAATATGAGGTGTCCCCTAAGAGCTCATGTGTGAGACAATGCAAGAATGGTCAGAGGTAAAATGATTAGATTATGAGAGTGGGCATCTGATCAGAATCTCTCTCTCCTTCCTGGCTACTGAGTACTGAGCTTCTCTCCTCCACCATGCCCATCTGCCATGATGTTCTGCCTCACCTTGGGCCCAGAACCGTGGAATCTGCTGACCCTGAACCTCTAAAATCATGAGCCAAAATTGAAATTGTCCTGAAGTTGTTCTTGTCAGGTCTTTTGGTCACAGCAACACAAAAACTGACAAAAATAAAAATAAAAAAGGGTCAGGCAGTGGGGGCAGGTGACAGGCTCTGAGCTGGAGTGTGGGGATGGAGCCTGCTTGCAAGTCAGCCTTTGCAATCCACTGGCCATGGAATAATCACCATGATTTACTGTCCAGCCAAATCCTGTGAGGGAGCACTGTATATTGATGAAGGGTGAAGCCTGTAGAGTTTAAGTTCCAATATTTTCACTTCCTGTGTAATCTTGGGTAAGTTACTTAAACTCTTTGAACCTCGCTCACTTTCTTAAAATATTACCTATCTTAGGGTCCCTGAGAATTAAATGAGAAGACAGTTTGTAGAGGAAAATGACTTGGCTCTTGCATACAGCAAGCACTCAATGCATGCTGTCTGTGAGGCAACCACATGCACGCAGGGAACCTGGAAAAACAGAGCCATTTTCTGAATCTATCTAAGTGGACCCAAACCAAATAGCTGCAGGGTTCTGCTCGTCTTCCCAGCGGGCATCTGGGTGTTGGAATACTTAGCCTGGCATTTTCAGAACTGGTATTTTCAGAAATGGGAAGGGCAGGGTTGGTCAGAGCTGTTCATCTTCTTCAAGTACTGTCTGAAGTCCTTGTTGCTGCCTCTCAATTAGGACTCCTTCTCATTAAAAGAGGAGGAAAAAAAAAAGCACTCTCTCACTATGTGTTTTCAACAGTTTTGAGAATGTAAAGCTGGACATCACTCCACTCGCCCACAAGGAAACGCACTTGTCTGAGACAGCCCTTCCCCTCCGCTTCTGTAGGAAACAGTTTAGATCATGGATACCCACCCGTCTCGCCTGCCATTTGTCTGGCATTACATGTATATCAGGGACTTTATTTTCTTGACAACCTTAGTCTATTTAGTATTACTTACTACAACAGAATACTTGAGCCTGGGTAGTTTACAATGAACAGACATGAGCTCAACTCATAGTTCTAGTAGCAGGTCAGTCCAAGGTCCCTGGTGCTGGCATCTACTGAGGTCTGGGGTTTGGTGAGGGCCATATTGTGCACCATCATATGGCAGTAGGGAGGAGGGTGAGCAAAAATGTGAGTGGATGAGGTAGAACTCATAAAAGACCTGAGTCCTTTTATAATCAGCATTAGTCCCTCCATAAGGACAGAGCCCCCTGGGACCTAAATACCTCCCATGTCCCAACACTGTTGCACTAGAGATTCAACTTCCAGCACATATTTTGGGGGCACACATTCAAGCCATTGGGCAACCTTATAAAGCTGCCGCTATTACTACTCCTGTGCCTCCTGAGCCCAGCTGCCCCCTCACCGGAGCGGCATCTGTGAAACAGAGATGCCTGGTCCCTGGCCCCTGGCCAAGTTTTGGATGCACTTATCTAGAATGGAGTCACAGCTCCCAGGTGATCCTGATAGATTTTTAGATTCGAGGATCACCCAGGGCAGAAGAATAAAGTTGGGAGCCCTGTAGCAAACTTCGCATGTTTAGCAACTTTTCCATTCTCTCTGTGGAAGTGGCTGACTCACGTTCCAGGTGCTATTTCTTTATCTCAGTATCTCCATTTGCAGTGCGTGGGCAATGGTGCTTCCTCACTGCTGTGCTGGATGGGTAAACAGCTTGTAATGTGCCATTTAAATGGGAAGCATCCGGAAGAAGTGCTCCTGGGGCAAGATGTGGCCTCTTTTTGTTTCAGTGTGGGGGTGCTCGGCACCACATCATTGGCAGCTCAGAATCATCAGGAACCATGGGGTGGTAAGTGGCCTATCCTGTGAGACCAAGGTCTGAGGTATCTGCTCACAGAGTTTGGGGTAATGGGGGATCTCTGATCGCCCCATCCTTGGTTGAGGAATGACGGGAGCCCAAGTATAATTAGAACCATTAACTCGCTTTCAATATGGACAGTGAGATTTGTGGCTCCAGCTCACGAAGGAAATATGAAGCGGTAAACATACTTGCAGTTATGGATGGTGCTAAGCACACCATTAAACTGAATGCTAATGGTTGCCTCCTGCTCCCTTTGAACATTTTACCGTGGCAACTGGCAGGTGCCCTTTTCCTGTCTTGTCTTTCATCTTCTCATAATTCTCTACTGCCATGGCTCTTTGGATGATAATGGGCATATGCCTGAAATAATAGTTACAAAGAGAATTAGAATTAGATGTATAAAAAGGCAAATTAGGCTGGAGTAGGATTCCAGCTCGTTTCAGACAGCTCTCTCACTGCTGTGACCAAAGGACCCGACCAGAACTACTGTAAGGAGGAAAGGTTTATTTAAGGGCTCACAGTTTCAGAGGTCTCCATCCATAGACAGCAGGAGCCATTCCTTGGGGCCCCAGTTGAGGTTGAACATCATGGTGGAGTGTGTGGCAGAGGGAAACAGCTCACTTCATGATCAAGAAGCAGAGAAAGACACCATTCGCCAGATACAAATATATACCCAAAGCCACCCTGCAATTCCCATCTCCTCCAGCCGCACCTTACCACTTCAGTTACCACTCTGTTAATACCTATCAGGGGATTAAATCACTGATTGGGTTAAGATTCTTTCAACCCAATTATTTCATTGTATCACACATGAGCTTTTGGGGGACCCCTCACAACCAAACCACAACACAGCTCCTTATATGATCTGCTTGTAGGATGTAGAAACCTTGATGTTGAGAAAAGGCTAAGACAGACTGAGGTGAACATCTGTAATTGATGTATCTTAAATGTTTTGTATAGGAAAGGCATCAAATCTGACTTCTGAGGCTCAGTTGTTAAGCAGTGGAGAAATGTGACTTAGGGTTGAAGACCAGGAATTGAAGAGTTTAACACACTTGGATAGAAGTCCTTTCCCATTGCCTACAAGCTATGTGGGCTTGGGTGAGTTATTCTGCCTCTCTCTAAGTGTCCTCATCTACAAAACAGGGGAGATAATAATGTCCCTGCCTCTGAGAGCCACTGGGAGGTGACACCTTAGCAAGCACAAAGTGGGTATAAAGCTCGTAGTTTGGAATCTGGTGCAGAGGAGGTCCTCAGTGAATAGCAGCCAGTCTGATGACGATGGCGACGATTAACAACTTGCTAGGTGACTTTGGACCAATAACTTCCTGGAACTTCAAATCTTTATCTGCAAAAAAAAAAAAAATGAGCTAATAACAATACCTGAGTCATTTAAGGATCTGAATAGGAACTAAATGATTGAAAGCCCTTGGTACATGACTTGGCACATAATAAGTGCTCAATAAGAACTTGCTGAATGAATGGGAAAAATAAAAATGCAATATCTGCTGAAGAAGCTCCATCATCAAACCCAAGGCATTTAACGCTAGACATGGAGGAAGAAAAATGCAAACAGCCCTGGATGTTTTTGTCAGTTACATTTTTTAGCAGCCAAAGACCTTCTGCTGCCTGCCCTCTTGTTGTACCAGCTTCTCCCAGCCTTTATCAAGACGGTGTGCTGGAAAACAGAAAACAGGATGCTGACCTCCAGAAATATCACAACACGTACCGAGCAAGGTCTCAGACAGCAAGGGCCATCAACAATAGAGCCACCTGCGCACAGTGGCTCAGCCAGCAAAGCCTGCCTGGGGGTCCTCTTCAGTCCCTGCGCTGGACCCTCAGGCAGCCAATGTCCCTACCCTCCCGGAGTCCTGCTTCCCCAGAGCCCTCCCCAGGACTGTTCTCCAGGGCAGTGACTCAGTCTGCTCCCCCTGTTCTACCAAACTCCAGCTCTCCCCGGGAGAAAATGCTCTGGTGGACCAGTCCTGATAGAACTGCTTAGTCAGACGCCTCATGGGGGTAATTGACTTGCTTTTTAAATAGCATTTACGTTTTAATTTCTAATTGTAAAAGTGATGCATTTTTATCTTAGAAGACTTGGGGAAGAAAAACAGGCATGCAGAAGAAAACAAAAGTCCTGAGGCACAGGTCCCAGAGCAGGCTAGTGAAATCAGAACTGCTAGAGCCAGGGGATCCCACATCTTTTCTAAGTTCCCAACTGAATTCCAATTGGCTGGTGAGGTCGAACCATCAATTGGAGTTATCTACCAGTAATACTTTAAAAGCATTCCCTTTCGTTTTTATTTTACTATTTGGATCCAACTGCACTTGAACACTGCTTTTAAAAAGTTGGACAGAATACCTTCATTTTATTTATTTATTTTTTACATGGTGTTGAGGATTGAACCCAGCGCCTTATACATGCTAGGTAAGCACTCTACTGCTGAACCACAACCCCAGTTCAAATGCTGGTTTTTTTTTTTTTTTTTTGTACTAGCAATATATTATGAACATCTTCTTATATAATTAAATGTTCTGCTAAAATGGCTAGGTAATTTTCCATTGTATAGATGCACATAATTATTTTTTCACCAAAAACCTTTCATTACATATTTTTATAAAATTTGTCAATTAAAATAATAATGAAATGCATTTCCAATTTTAACCTCCAAGTACTTATGTAGGTGGCATTTATATGGCATGTAACCAGATATTACACATGATTCTTAGGCATTCCATCTATTTTCTTTAATCCTCAAAGTCAGCCTATGATGTAGGTACTCCTATATTATTCCTATTTTAGGGTTGAGAAGTCTGAGACTCAGAGAAATTAAATCCATAGCTGGTAAGTGGTAGAGCCAGTCCATACTCTGCAATTAAATTGCTGGGTAGAAAAATTAGTAAAATTTTAAGGTTTTTAAAACACGCAGCCAAATGTGAAAGGCTATAAAACTTCTTAACCAGCAGCATTTATGAGACAGTACAGGGTGTTGGAACTGGAAAAGATTCTATCCTCCAATGGAATGCATCAATTTAAAATCTCTCCTTTCATGTAAAGAAAATCTTGCAGAGTAGGATTATAAAAAATGAGACTGAATAGTTGTCTTATGTAACTGGAATAGTTTGTAAGAGCTGTGCCAAGCATCCGACAGGCTGTTGTGTTTGTGGAGGTAATGAAACGGCCTAGGTTTCCCAGTTGGTCCCACACTGTGGCCCGCGGAGAGGTATAATCCGGAGGCTGCTCCTGGGGTAGGTGTCCCTCTCCAACTTACTTCTTACTCTGCCCTTCTGTTTGGGAGAATGTTTTTGGTAAGACAGAGAGAGAGAGAGAGAGAGAGAGAGAGAGAGAGAGAGAGACCGATCTCCATGTGTGGCAGCTGGTGGGTGGTGCTGTGGGAGGAGCAATGGCATCCTCAACCAGGTAAAACTTTGTTGGACTTAGATGCCATGCTAACAGGCCTGGATTCCCATCCTCCAGGAAGCCAGGCTCAGCTCTTTCCAGGAACTTGTGGAAATGAACAAATAAGACTGATATTCTGGGAATCCTGGAGGTAGGACAGAGGAGCCCCAAAGCCCACGAAGACCAGGGACTCCCAGGAAAGAGGAAAGGATAGTGGAGACAGGAGGACATAGAAGCCCACTGAGAGGCTCCACAGGTCTGAGGTCTCAGTGGGAAACCACAAAGCTCTGAACACTGTCCCCAGTTCTATGTGTACTTCTCAGGTCTCCTAGATAAATTTTGTGCTCTTAATTCTCTCTTTTATTCCGGCGGGGAGGGAGGGTACTGGGGAATGAACTCAGGGGCACTCCGCATTGAGCCACATCCCCAGCACTACTTTGTGTTTTATTTAGAGACAGGGTATCAGTATTGCTGAGTTGCTTAACACCTCCCTGTTGCTAAGGCTGGCTTTGGTCCTCCTGCCTCAGCCTCCCAAGCCTCTGGGATTATAGGTGTGTGCCACTGCACCCAGTCCTAATTCTCTCTTGGAAGAGGGTTGTAACTATGAAAGATTCTTCTTATCTTCACCCCCACCGTGCATATGTTGGACACTGACATACCATCATTTATGAGGAATTTCTAATTCAAAGCAGGAAAGCAAAGGAACTTCCTGTGACCCTGAACTCTTGGAGGATAGGGCCAGTGCCTTTTTTTTTTCTTTAATTATATTCATTCTTAGAGGTTCTGGCAGGTCACAGTTTTCCTATCTATTTACAGGTACCCTATCCCACTAATTGAGGTGTGGATGGGAATTATATTATTATATTAGTGAGTTGTGTTTTGGTTGCCAGCTACAGAAACCTAATTTGAAATAAAGGGGAGTCCAACATGGAGAGCAGGTAGGGCTAGAATCAGGGTTTTGAAGCCTTTTGCTTCTTTCCTTTCTTTTTCTCCACTTCTTCCTCTCTAGAGTGGCTTGTCTCTCCTATTTGTGAATTGGCTACCGTCACAGGGCCAGGGAAGACGGATTTTATGTATGGGTGCTGAGGGGAGAGAAAGCTCTTTTGCCTCAGTTATTGCAATTCTGAGTCAATGAAGCCTGGGGCTGCCTATAAAGTCTCCAGCTGTGTGACCCCAGCTTGGCGACCTAGTGGAAGGAGAGGATAGCTCTCTCCCAACATCCATTTGTCAATCCTGGAGGACTGGCTGGTGTGTCTTGAGTCACACTGAGTCAACCAAGGACTGTACCTGGTGTAGTGAAGTATCACAAGCATCCAATAGCCCATGGGGTCACCAGGATGCATCTGTTACCTGAAGAAAAGAGTGAGAAAATAGTGTCAGGAAGACAAAACCTACTAAAAGCCCTGTTGTGATCCGGATTCACTTTTTCCAAGTCTAGGTCTCAACTGGTCAAGTTAATTTGGGTTCTTCCTTCTTTCATTAATTACAATTTTTTCTAGCACTTTTCCCCCCACTTTTTAAATTTGTTCTTTTTAGATATACGTGACAGTGGAGAGCATTTGGACATATTGTACATACATGGAGCATGACTTATTCTATGAGGATCCTGTTCTTGTGGTCATACACAATGTGGAGTTTCACTGGTTTTCTAGCATCGTTCTATTTATCTACAAATAACAGATGAACACTGTTTTTATGATACTCTGATTTTATCTAACCCTTCTTCTTCTAGTACTGCTTTCCTGTAACTATAGAACATGTGGACATCACCATATTTATTGTCAAACATCTCCAATGAGACCTACCTTTGGAGCCTCCATTTCTCAGCCAATTGCTCATGGAAACCTCTTTAAATGCTGGATTTGAATATGTGGCCCTGAAGCAGCTGCTTGCAGGCCACTAATGAGCCCTGGCTGCTGGATTCACTGTCCTTTCTTCGCTGCATTTCCCTGGCTGCCCTGGCATTCTTGATGTGTAATCTGGCTTTCCGGTGCCACCTCGACTTTGGAAGCAAAGAATGTCCTCATGAAGGACTTGGAAAAACTGATTCCATTCTTGGCGCTTGTGCCCTTTGGGGCTCTCTGGTTGTGTTCTCTGTCTATAAATAGAGGAGGAACTTATTGTTCACCTCTCCACCTTTCTTCTGGGCTACATTTTGCCTTTGGCAGGCAGATTAGACTTGTAGAGTACAAGCTTTGGAGTCGAGCAAGCTGGGTTTATGTCCCAGCTCTTGAGCATACTAACCATGGGCTGTCAGTGAGATTTATTTATTTTTCTTTCTGGTAATTTCTCTGAGCATCGGTGCCCTCTTCTGTACATGGAGGGAAACCCAACTCACTACATCCATGTATCCTATATAAATTGCCAGCTCATTGTATTTTTTAAAATATTCATATTTTACATATTCTAAATAAGCTGGCCATTAGAAACAATCCCAAAGCTAATTACTCTTTGGTAAATTCCCTCCTACTACATTATCTTTTGTGGAACAGCAACTTTTCCTTTTATTCTCCTGGTATAAGCACCATTTCTCCCTTGCTTCCTCCCGTCCTCATATTCAACATGAGGTCCATTTCCCATGTCCTCCAGGTGGGGGAGCTGTTCTTCTTTTGCCCTCTATGGTTCTGATGGGCTAAGGGGGGGTCCTGTGACCAAGACTTGACCAATCATGGTATCTCCTGCCTCTGACCACAGTGATTGGCTCAGTCTGGTCACATGACCCAAGTTTGGTTTATTGGTGTTCTTCCCTTGAATTTTACTTGTGAGTGAGAAAGGATTCTTCTTGGGAGCTGCTAATGCAAATTGATGCAGCCTTGAGCTGCCTGTGCTGTGTCTCCTGCTCTTGTAGTTAGGAAAGACTGAGTTCAGACATGGAAAGGAGCAGAGAGCTAAGAGGGACTGAAGAAGGAGGTGGGGAGAGAAGTCATCATTGGATTTTCTGAGGACAGCTCTGGCCTTCATAGACACATGCCAGTGAATTCTGATTTTTCTTTAGGCCAGATTGAGTTAGGTTTCTGTTCCTTGAAGTCTAAGGTCCTAACAAATTCGTGGACTATCGCGAGGCCACCAGCACATGCTGGAGATCCTTTCTCCTGCCCAAGAGGGTGTAAGTCACCTGAGAAAATAAAGTCTGAAATAATTACTGAAGAAATAAAAGAAAAAGTCAGAAAAATAGCTTTAAATGCAGAGTAACTGCTAGGTCCAGCCCACACAGGAACTGGAGCTGTACAGTTAAAAAATGGCTCCCATGGTTTATTTAAGGGGTACATCAAAGGTGGGGATAAGTTTCAGGGGTGGAGTCTTGCTTCCTGATGTCTTGCCAGTCAACAGGCTGGTTGTCATCTTGGCAGTTTACACCCATCTCTGAGAGGCTGTGTATCTATGTGACCGCAGTGGTCCTGTCCCTGAGGCATGAGGGACCTTTTTGATCAGAGCTGGCGGGGAGTTCACATGTACTTGGGCCATCTTAACAGCAGGAGTGTCACTGTAAGTTCCCAATACCAGACTTTCCCACTCACTGGCTATGATGTTGAAAAGGTCCTCAGGCGTCGTCTGTGGATGGCTCTCCACAGTGGGCTTCTTTAAAGTAATAGCTATCTTGTAGATGAGAACTGTGACACAACAAAATCCTGACCGCTAGTCTATTACTGATAAGAAACTGAGTCATATATTGAATTCGTACCAAAGATAAGAAAATCCATGGCTACAAAATCCCTTCTACATTTATATCATTGGAATGAAACACAGTACTTGGTGCACAGAAGGTCCTCATATGTCTTTGGGGGAATAAGGTAGAACATGAGAGAGGATTTGATTGGTTCACTTGGTCAGTCACCATGCCATAAGGAGCTCCTATTGGAACAGACCACCAGCTCCCTTTGGGCCCTCAGCCTGGTTAGTTATGGTTAAGCTTCTCAACTGTAGTGGGATCAGTGATGAGCAGGAGGCCAGGACACAAAAAAATAACTCCTTTTGCATAAGGAGATGTTTGAATTCAACTGGGCATGGCAGGCATTTGAGTCTCCCAGAGGGGAGAGAAGAGCAGCTGAGAGCTTTGTGTCACTGGTGCAGGCCACTTGAGTCCTCCTGGTACAGCCCTCTGACAAGGGTTTGGAGAGCCATTGGGCAAGCTCCAGGAAAAGCAGAGCTGCTGCTGTCCTGCTGAGATCCCCCTCGAGCTGCTTTTACAGAGGAGAGACACCAGCAGGGCCAAGGGGGGAATTCTGGGAAATCGGGGATGCCTGAAGCCACTCCCAGAAAGAGAAGCTGACTCCAAGTGACAGGCGGGGCCTGCTGGTGAGAAACAGCCCTGTGCTCCGGTGAGGTCCTGGTGAGTGGCAGCCCCTGCTGGGGATGAGGGACCAGGGAAGCAACAGCATTCCTGGGGCAGCGTGGTGGTTCTGGCCTTTCCCCAGGTCTGTAAACCCCCTCAGGCTAGGAAGGGCTTCTCCTCTCCTCCTCTGGGTCAGGAGAAAGGCAGGACAGCTTCTGTCCTCAGATGTGAGCAGCAGGCCTGTGGAGGATCCCGAAAGAGAGAGAAAGCCAATCCAGCCCCTTCAGGCCTAGTGAGGAGGGCAGAGCCCAGGCGAGGGTGGGTCCTCTGGAGGAGCTGGCTTTGGGAGTCTGGCATTGGAAATTGATTTAATTTTGGCCTTGTCTCCCCCGCAACAGAGTTAAATGGCAGTCACTCCATTTAGAGGGGCACCGGCGGGGATCTGGAGCTTTGGAGGACCCTCTTTCTCTATGCAACAGAGGGACTAGCGGCAACCGTTTAGTCTCTCTGACTTTCAGGCTTCTGAGGGTAAATCAGGAAAGTAGGGATTCATGTTCTAGAGTAATCCAAAATGAGTAAACCATACTCTCCCTCCAATGAGTGGCTTAAATTCTCTTCAGCTTATTGAGATGATTGATATGGGAAAAGTGGTCCTCGAAATTAACTTTCCAGTAGGGGATTGATGAGAAGCAACCGTATTCTAAAGAGAATGACAGTAGTGATAATTGTTATTATAACGACAGTAAGGAAACCACCATTTAAAGAATATTGTTCGCGAGCCAGGGCCTCTATTAAGGGTTTATGTGCCTCACCTTACTCCATCCTTACAGCCCTCCTCTGGGCATGAATATTATGATTCCTGCTTTGAGAATGAAGCTGCTGAGGCTTAGAGAGGTTCCACTGCTTTCCCACACCATGTCCCTGTTAAAAGGTGGCAGAGTTGGGATTTGAACCTAAGGTCTGCTGGGTTCTGTAGTGAGTAGTGACTTGCATCATCTACTGGGGCAGCAAGGCACGTGGAAGTAGCACTGGCCTACCAGCCCACCAGGAGACAGAGCTAAGGGCGTCTCACTGTCAGAGTGGAGTCTGAGACCCTAAAGGATGCAGCCCAGACATTTCTATCAGACCCTGTCACCCCCCACCAGGTTGTTCCCCCCTCCACAGCATCCTCCATTGGCTTGTTCTCCATACTCTTCTACACCCCAGAGCCTTTGTGGGTGCTGGTCCTTATTCTTGAAACCCTGTCCTCTCTCTTGCTTCTGGCACATTCTTGCTCAGGCAAGATGCCATCTCCCTTTTGAAGATGTTCTCTGATTTCCAAACGGCCAGTCCTTTGGCTTCTGTCATGGCACGCTCTGTAATTATTTGTTTTCATCAACATTCATTCGGCAAATACTTGCTGAGTGACTCATCTGCTGGAACATTGTGTTAGGTGCTTGTGAATTTTCTCCTGTCCATTTACCCTGTCCTCCAGGCACCTAACACGCCCTCAAATTCACAGGTGGTTGGTTTTTGTTGATGTTTGTTTGTGTGTGTTTCTTTATAGAGATGTGTTTTATTTTTTCCCTGAATTCCAGGGAATTGACAAAGAAGGCCCATAGAAAGTTCTCTCTAGCTATTTGATGAGTGCATATAAGACCTGGAACTTATCCTACTTTTGAATGACTATGTTTTTCCCTATATAACCTGCTAGCATCTTAGATGTTTATGAACAAAAGTTGGGTCTTGTTTTGCTTTTTTTCCCCACTGCTTGGCATAGACAAGGAGTTTGGTACATGTTTATTGGCTGAATGATTAGTGAAAACTCTGAGGTCTGGAGAATGAATATATTAATTCTTCAAGGATGGATCAAGCGCCCACGCTGGGTCTAACACTGAGATCATTGCTTGGGTAGCACCCAGAAGAGCTCACATCCTTAGGAGTCTAAGTGTCCAGTGACCAGACCTATACACAAAAGTGACAAAGGAAGGATCCAGCAGAGGATGAGCCCAGATGCCAACCACTCACCCCCTGTGTCCAGGACCGATGCTGGTCCCCAGCTGTGTCCTCAGCCCACTTCTGATTCCCAAAGCTTGCTCCCTTAGAGGACTCTCTGCCTCTAGAGAGCAATGACTGTGGCCCATGAAAGGGCCCTGAGTTCCTGCCGGGTGATTGCCCATCTACTTGAGCCTGAATTAAAGTAGAACAAAAGGCAGGGACCCTTCCTGCCCCTAAGCATCATTGCTTGTATGCCTGGGAGGGACCACAGCTGGTCATTTGGCCGGCTCTCATCTCCTGTAGAAATCATGTAGGGGGATGTGGGAAATCGTTGTGGAAGGTATATTAACATCCAGCCCCAGAATTCTTTCTTGGGGGAAGAACTGTCTTAAAACTCAGAAGGCAATGTTTCAGGAGACAAAGTGACAGAGAGAGAACGGGTGTTTGGGGCATAAAATAAATGAGGAACTTGGATGAGGGGATTTGAAAGAAGAAAGGAAAAAAAGGAGAAGAGGACAAAGTAGAATCTGGAATCTGCATTGGTGAAAGTTTTTAAGAATGGGGTGTCTGATATTTGTTAGCACATTTTGAGTGTGTGTGTGTGTGTGCGCACACGCACGCAAGTGCATGTGCATGTGTGCTGTAAATCTTTCTCTGTCTTCTATAAAGATCTCTCCCTCCTCACCCTCATGCACAAGAACCTCTAGTGGGTTTGGGGTAGAGGAGAGAAGAGAAATTGAGGAAAAATTGCTGAGTACCTTGTTTATATTGGCAAAGAAAACCCACACAGCTTTGTGGACCATCCCCAAACTGAAGTAATTTGTTGGAATCAAGGGATCACAGTGAGAGATGACAGAAATTCTCCAGGAGGAGAATGGAACTTGTCTGTTGCATGCAGGTTGGGGTCTCAAACCCACCTTTATTTAACCCTCAAAGAATAGGGGCATTCATTAGGATTCTTTAGTCCTAAGTAACAGAAATTGTGGCTAAAATGTCAGTAAAAAAAATCTCTCAGGAGTATTCTCAGTGGTTCACAGAACTGAAAAGGAAGTCCATCAGCCAGGTCCTGGTGAGTTGGAACTAGTGGACTGGACACCAGTCCAGGGACCCCGGGGGTGAACTGGCCTAGTGGTTTGCCATGTTAAGGAGGCATGGACCCCTTCAAGGTCACCTCCCCACATGATTGGCTGGGGCCGCATGGATTAGGGAAGTCACCATTGACCATTGTCTCAAAGAGATTTGATGAAGGAAAGAAAGGGGACACTTCTTCCAGAAAACTCCACAGAGGGGATGCCAGGCCCACAGAAACACCCCATGTTCAGGCCCACGGATAGGTACCTTGACTCTGCACATGCTGACTCATAAGGGTTGAGCAGGTGACATTGTCTCCTGTGCTCTCCAGGAATGCATTTTTAAAAATTTATTCGAATTAGTTATATTTTCAGTGGGCTGCTGGTTAGAACTAACCAGCAGGGGCCGGCCAATGGAGGAAAAGGGCAGGGCTGAGAATGGAGTCCCCTGTCCTCCCGTGTTGGGCCCTACCTTCTACGTGGCGCCCTGGCCCTGCCAGCCCCACCCCCCATCCTAGCCTTTGCTCCAGCTGTTCCCTCTACCTGGAATCGCCTCCCCTTTCTTTGTCACCTGTTCATTCACTTCAAACAAGAGAATCCCCAGAAAGGAATCTTTTCTAACCTTCCCCTTCCTCAAGAGGTAGGAGTGTCTCTCCATCTCTACCCTTATTCTATTTCATCTTTAAAATAGTTATTGCTTGTGAAAATAGTCAACGCAGCACATGGCAAACATTTTCGGCATACAAAGAGGGATAGAGAGGAAAAATGGGCCTCCCTTTGCCTCTGACCTCGGCTTTCCCGCCAGGGGACAGCGCTTTCCCATCTCCTTCTAGAACACCCCACACAGACAACTCCACCCTCCCCGGGAGGCCCTGCTTTTTCATTTTCTGGGCCTCTGAGGGGAAGGACTCCTTGTCTGCCTTTGGGGCGTGGGTGCCCTGCAGCTCCTTGTACAAGTTCAGCCACCAACAGCTTAGAGCTGTGTTTTTGCCCAAGGAGAAGCGGGAGGGCCGGGGGATGGGTGCTGTCTGAGATCACTTGGTGCCACGCTCTGTGATCTATGAGTTGCTTTTAATTTCCTGTGCTGGCTGCCGGCAGCCGGAGGAAATGAGGCAGATAGCTGGGCTTCACATCTAGCCCTGCCTGGACCCGGGCTTGTCTGCTTGCTGCAGGGTCACGGTCCTTAGATCCTGGAGAAGAGCTGAGTGCCCTCCCCAATCTCTGCACCTCCCCCACAACCCCCCCCCCCAATTGAAGGAGGGGGCAGGTTGGTGACCTCATGGCTGCAGGAGTCAGGGAGAGGGACTGAGTTTCTCACCTGGGCTTTGGGGTGAGACCCAGATGGTTAGGGTTCTGGCTCTGTGGCCTCCCGGCCACCTGACTTTAGGGCAAGTTGCATTGACTCTCTGAACCTCAGTTTTCTCCTCCATAAATGGGGCTAATAGAAGGACCCATTTCAAGGAATTCTCAGGAGGATTCAGAGAGTAGGAATTCTGTGTGTGAGGCCAGATGCTGAAGCCTGCCTCAAGCTGAGCTTGTGGCTGGTCTCCTTTGTCCTCTCTCTTCCTTCCAGCATGCCTTCCCCTTCCAGGGACTAAGTGGCCTTATTTTTCCTCATCTCTTCTGACATGAGCAGCAATAAATCCCATGCTGCAGCTTCTTCCTGCCACCTCCCTTTGATTTAGTGCCATCTTTGTGCCAGGCATGATGCCTTTAATGTGGGACATGCCAGCTAATCTCAACCACCCCTCCTATTCTTGCTTTTGAGCTGGGGTTCCCTCATGGTTTCCCCTCTGGATAGGTACCTTGGCTATTATAGACAGAATAAGGAAAGCCAGCAGCCTGGTGGTCATTGGTACGAGGGGGCACGATCTCCATCGTTGGGTTTGCATTTTCAGAGTAGTTTTATAAAAAGAGGTCAGAGTCTAGTTCTGAAGAATTAATGAAAGCCGGGCCAATGCGGCACACATGTGCAATCGCAAGGATTCAGGAGGCTGAGGTGGGAGGATCACAAATTCAAGGTCAGCCTCAGCAAATTAGGGAGACACTGTCTTCAAGTAAAAAGGGTCGGGGATGTAGTTCAGCGTTAAAGCATGACTAAGCTCAATCCCCAGTACTAAACAAAAAGACAAGAAAAAAGAAAAGAAAAAGGAAGAATTAATTGATCACAGGAGCAAGTCAACCTTCCTTAATAGGCTTGAGAAGAGAGGATTTTCTGGGGAACAAGAAAAGCCTTTCTATCACCCTTAAGAAAACACAACAAAGGCCACTGCCTCCTCCCCCTGAAATTAAGATCAGCTCAGCAGGTGTCTCCAGAGAGCAGGGCCGAGTTCCTTGCTGTGATGTTTTCACAAAGCAGGTAAACAGAGCAGCTGCTCCCTGAGTTCCACCTACTGATGCTCAAGATCATTCAGGGAGCATAAAGTGTCCCCTGATTGAGTCCCCTGAAAACCAAAGAGGATGCCCCACCTTTAACAAAGTGGTGCTGCTGGGTGCTGAGCCTTTGTCCTGAGCAGCTGCGGGGCTTCCCTGCACCTGCAAGTGTCACTGGCAGCTGGTGGCCCACCTGGTGCTCAGGTGGTGAAGGCAGCAAGAGAGGGGTGAGGAGGGAGAGTAGGGGCTGGGGCCACACTGGCTCTGATGTGATGCATGCTTTGGCTCTGTGGACATTTTAGGGGTAATTGACTCCATTCATTTGCTAATGAGGGAACCCAGGGATGGGGAGTGACCAGGCTTACATTCTACACCCACTTGTCCTGAAATCGCTACAAAAACGCCGCCTTCCACCAGAGTAATCAGAGCACTGAATAGTTAGCTCCTGTCACATTTCATGAGGGGATTTCACCTTCTGTCTCCCCTTCCCTTTTCTTTCCTCACCTCCTTCCCTCCTCTGCTTACTCCTTCATCTCTCCCTCTCCATCCTCTCATTTGGTCTTTACAGCAACCAGGCAAGCTTCCAATATTTTAAAGATGAGTAACTGAGGCTCAGAGAGAGGACACTGCCTGCCTGGAGTCACACCAAGGTGAGTGCCAGAGGAGCGATGGAGTGGCCACCAAATGCCTCCCACTGATTCTCCTTGCTCACACCTACTAGCTGTAATCCCCATTCAGGCTCCTTTGTCTGCTTCCTCCTCTGTGAATAGGGCAGTGACAGTCGCCACCCCCCCCCCTCCCATGGTACCTGAGTTATAGAAAATGCTCATCAGAGTATGTGGCACTTAGCAAGGGTTTGATCAAAGTCACCTTTACACCGTGCATCTTGACAGTCCTAAACACTGTCACCATGTAGATGGTGTGCACCTGACGTTATGTGTTGAACTTGAGCTTATTTTGTGCTCCGCAGTGCAAAAGATTTATTTTGCAATGCAAATTAGACAGTAATCCAATCTTCAGTTGGCAAAGATGTTAGTGCTGGTGAGTGTGTGGGGACACAGGAAAGAGATGGGCAGAGTCACCCTTCACACAGTTAATAGCAGGGGTACCCTCACTCCCCCGGGGGAGGAATGCAAGGTGGGCTGCGCTGTCCTCTGCCACTGGGGGCATGAAACTTGGCTTCCACCTTGGGAAGACCAACTTTGGAGTTGCACATTAGATGCTACAGAAATCCTTTAGGGATTTCGACCCCACAGTAGGCATTCTTCAGAGAGTGGCATTAAAATGCAGGAAAGAAACTAAAAAAAGTCTCATAGTTGTGTGGTCAGATGGGGAGGAGGAGGTTTCAACTGTTCTTGGTTGCACAGTCAATAAAAGAGTGACCTCTGAAAAGTGAACACATTAAAAGCCAGCCTGCTGACCCTCTGGGGGTGACTCACAAACCCTCTCAAACTTACCTGCCCACCCTGCACTCAGGATTCCATTTCACCCTATGATGCTTATTGCTCCCTGCCCACCCTTTGGATCCTTTTCAATTGGCCCTGAAAGGAAGATGAGCACTCTCTCCTCACAGGGCTGATGTGTGCAATAAGAGACAGACTTCACCTTAACGGGTTAGCTCATAAGAAGTGGTGCTCAAGAACAGTAGCTCTTCTTGGGGAGAGTCTTCTTGGACCAGATTCCTTTGGTATTGGTTTGGTACTAAGGCATAATAAGGATGTCTTGGGTAAGTCCTCTGAACCGCAGGTTTATCACTTGTAAAGTGGGAGTAATGAAGGTTGCTCAGAGTATTCATTGAGGATATATGTATTGCCCTTAGCATGTCGCCTGTCACATAGTAAGTTTTTAGCACCACAAATGGTAGCTGTGAGTTCCTGCTAGAATTGTTACATCTTGGTTCCTCTCTGGGAGGTGGCTTCCTTCCACTAACCACCATCTTTGTTGCCACCCGCTGGCCTGATTGCTCAAGTGTGCCTGCCTCTGGGTCCAGCACTACGCTCCAGTCCCCTCCCTCTAGCAGGTGCGACGGTGATAGACTCACTGTGAATAGGCCTTCTGTGCTTGCCTGGGCTTGTTGGCTGGGGCTGTGTGCAGCTGAGGACACCGCCCTAGGACTGGGATGTCTTGTGCAGAGTGGCGGCTCCAGGGCCTCCACCCCACTGTTGACTTTGGCATGGAGGACTCTGGGGGAGTTCAGAGCAGCACAGAAAAAACAGTGCGGCTCTTGCCAATTTCCTTGAGCTCTGAGGGAAAGAAACAGAAAAGCGTAACACGAGGAACAACATGAAAATGGGATTGGAAGTTGCTGGAAGCCTTTGGGGCGTGCTCCAGGAGCCACAAGCTGTTCCTGTTTGGCTGCCTGGGGCTTCGTACTCTGCTGGATGTAGTCGGTCAGATGAGAGGAGGTGAGATCTCACTGTCAGAGGGGTGGAGGCCGGTCCCTGGAGATGGCAGAGGGAAAAGATGGCGGAAGGCATCTTTTACAGCGGTTTTCCTGTATGGTGGGTATGGAACCTTTTCTCCACCCTTCAGTTCCACTTGTGATGATATCTGTGTTACTCTTTGGTGTTTGGGGAATTAGATTTGTTTGGGGGTGCCGAATGTAAGTTCAAGGTTGGCATTGAGTGTGAAAAGAAGTGGCCAAAGGGGATTGGATCTTAGATGTTCCCCAAAGACCCATGTGTTAAAGGCACGATTGCCAGCCTGTGGCCCTGGGGAGAGGGAGGACCTTTAGGAGGTGAGGCTTAGGGCAAGCAAGTTAGGCCACTGGGGCAGGCCACTGAAGGGACCCTGGTCCCCTCCTTTTTCCCTTCTTGCTTCCTGATGGCTCTGAGGTGAAGAGACCTCCACCACACATTTCTACCATGATGTGTTATGCCACCACAGGACCTAATAATTGTGGACGGGAACCTCTAAAACTGTGTGTCCAAATAAACCTTTCCTCCTCTAAGTTAGTTTATCTCTGGTATTTTGTTATGGCAACAGAAAAGTGACTAACATAGGGACCCTGCACATAGTGATAACCCTTTCCTAAAAATGCAGTGACCTGCTTACTTATGTAGATCTCATTCTTCACCTGAAGTAAAGTTGAATTATATTGAGAGAACAGATTAATGTGGGTATGGATTCATATAGAAGCTGATTGACATAGACCTCTCCTTCTTCCTCCCTTGCTCCCGGAAAGAAAAGCTTAAGTTGTATAACAAGACAAATTAAAGGTAAAGATATATGGGATCTTGCCAAATGGGGAGGAGGGGAAAGGAAATACAGGTTTAGAGAAGCAGAAGAAGCCGTCCATACCTCAAGACTGATATTCCTTTTATCTAAAACACAGTGCCCCCCCCCCCCAAATTCATGGCTAGAAGCAAGAACATTTAATTTGTTCCTGAGTTGGCAATTTGGCCAGGTTCAGTGGGAACAGCATGTGTCTCCCTCCACTCAGCTGAAGTTGTTGTAAGGCTGGGGCTGGGTCTGTTCTCCTCACTCACTCGCATGTACTGGCTGTCGGCTGGGGCTGCCCATGTGGCCTGGACTTCCTCTTCCCCATGTGCCGGCTGGGGTCCCAGGATGAGCATCTTCCCAGGGGGAGAGGGCCAGGCAGAAGCTGAGACACCCTTTCCAACCCAGCCTGGAGAGTCGCGCTGCTTTACTTCGCACCTGTCCATTGGCAGTGAGTCACCAAGTGCGTGTCTTCTCAGGCCGCGGTTAACAAACAGACTGGGTGGCTTAACCCATGGAATTTATTTCCTGTTCTGAAGGCCACCAGACTGAGCCCACGATGTTGGTGGGGCCTCTACCCTCAGTTTGAGGATGGCCCTCCTCACCTCGTGTCTTCACAGGATCTCCCCTCTGTCTGTCCGTGTCCTGCTGTCTCCTCCCTATAAGAACATGGATCAGACGAGATTTAGGGCCTACCCTAAAGACCTCGTCTAAACTGACCTCTTTCAAGGTCCTGTCTCCAAATACAGTCACATTCTGAAGTACTAGGGATTAGGGTTTCAATTTAGGAATTCGGAAAAGGACACAACTGAGCCCATGACATCCAGCCCAGGCCATATTCAAAGGGAGAGGAATATTAAAGAATCTGCACAAGTATTTTAACACAACTACCACTGGGTAAGTGGCAGGGGTTTTGACAAGTCCTGTATGTAGTTGACAGGTCCCTAGGCTCCACCCTCTGCCAGTACCCTTGAAAGGGTGTGGAATCTCAGAGGTCAGTGGGATAGTGGCTTTCAGGAAAGATCCCTCAGCCCACAGGTGCGAGCAGCACATGGTACTATTCACTAACAGAAGGGCCACAGGTTTTAAAAATCAGCATTTGAGCCATGAAGTGACTCAAAAAGACTCTTCTCCTGTTACCCAACCTCCAAATAAGATACTAGATTCTGGCATTAACGTAGGGGCTGGAAAGGCTCTCAGAATCATGACTGAGATTGAATTTCCCACCAACCTGATGAGTGAGGGCTTAAGAGTTAGATTTTATTTAACTTGAAGTAATGTGATGTTCCTTCCAACTGAGCTGGGGACCAAGAACACGTGGGTTATAGTAGAAAAGAATTATGTCGGCTTTTCACATGAGATAATGCACTCATCCAAAAACCATTACAGTAAGAGTTATCAGCTAACCTCCTCTATTCTGACAGATTCCAGCAGCTGCAGGAATGGTGCATTTCCCTGAAGAGTGACTGCCATAGATGACTCTATTAGTCTGTTTTTCGTTGCTCTCACAAAATACCTGAGCCTGATTACTTATAAGCAAAGAGGTTAATTTAGCTCATGGTTATGGAGAGTCAAGAACATGGCACCAGCATCTGCTCGGCTCTGGTGATGGTCACTGGGGCAGGACACTGAAGGGTCTCTGGTCCCTTCCTTTTTCCCTTCTTGCTTCCTGATGGCTGTGAGGTGAAGAGACCTCCACCACCATACACTTCTACCATGATGTACTGTGCCACCACAGACCCAAGGCAACAGGACCTAGTAACTGTGGAAAAATCCTCTAAAACTGTATGTCAAAATAAACCTTCCTTCCTTTAAGTTAATTTATCTCTGGTATTTTGTTATAGCAATAGAAAGTTGACTAACACATGTTATAGCCAGAGGCTATAGCATGGTTGCTGGATGCCATCATAGTGGGAGGATGTGTAAGAAGGAGAGATCATATGGTGACATGGGAGGCCAGAGACATTCCAGCAAGCCTTGTTCTTTTTGTAACTCACTCTTGCAGGAACTAACTGAGGTCCTGTGAGAATTACATTCATCGCTTCTGAGTATTCACCTCATGGTCCGATTACCTTGCATTAGGATCCACCTCTTAGAGGTCTAACTGCCTTAACACTACCACAATGAGGACCAAGCTTCCAATGAAATTTGGAGGATACATTCAAACCACATCTGAACTTACAGCAGAGTAGTTTTTCAAAAATCAAATTAAGATGTCATTTTTAGCATTCAAATGAGTGGAGAAGTAGAGGACAGTTAGGGAGAGCTCACCCTGGGGAAGACCCCTGGGCAGGGTGGATGTGTCCATGTACCACTCACTCTCTTTCTGTCTTGCTCTCAAGTGTCCCACAGAACCGGTCACCTCTTTTCTATACTTCTTGAAATGCCACCAATAAGCAATTTAGTTAAACTGACACATTCCCCCGGCAGGTTGAAGGGGTGATCGTTTTGTTCATTAATTCTGTACCAGGACATTTTGGTTGACTCAGGGACTCGTTATCTGGTCCTTTATTGGTTCGAGGGGCTTCAGTTTCAGCTGGTTAGAGGGTGTTGTGTTGATGGATGGGCTCATTGGACCTACTTTCTTAGGAGCACAGAGACAAAACCTCCCCCTTCATCTCTCAGGGGTTCAGAGTTTTGATATTTGTTTGTCCACCCAGAGTCACTTCACCATGGTTGATTTCAGAAAGTGTGATACGGCCCAGAAAGATGATTCTCCATGAGAGAAAAAGATATTGAACCAAAGGTGAGATGTGAGAATGGATGTTATTCGGGGTCTACAGGATGTATTTCTATTATATATATTTCCTCCTGTGGGTTGGGTCTGTGGCCCAACGGTTATGGTACCACCTAGAGCAGGGGACCAACATGACCTTCCACCCACTCTGGTAGCCTTGGGTCAATTCCAAGTCTCTGGCCTTAGGACAAATTGGATTAGTAAATACCATCTGAAATGAGTCACCTCATTGCCTATTCTTCTCCCGTCATGCCAGTCTCCCTAAAGCAAAATATTAATAAATGCCACTACATAAAAATTAAAATGTCTTTATGGAAGGAAGCAAATTCCACAAAGTCAAGAGACGAACAATAAAGTGGTCGGTGATATTTGTGACACATACAATGGACAAAGAGTTAATTTCCTTATTTTACAAAGAGCTCATACAAATCGATATGAATTAAATATGAAAAGGCCAATTGAAAAATGGGCAAAGGATATGAAAGGCAGTTTTTCAGAAAAACAAATGCAAATATCTAATAACTTTATGAAAAGAAGTTTGACTTTCCTCAAATTAAAGTCATGCAAATCCAGATGACATACCGCCATGTTTCTGCTATCAGATGGGCGAAAGCTTAAAAAGTCTGTTATCTTCAGTGTTGATGAGTGAAGGAGAAAGCAGATATTCTCATTCACAGTCATTGTGCAGAGAACTGGATATAATATTTTAGTCAAGCATTTTGATAAAATGGGTGAGTATTTCTTATCCCTTATGCTTGGGACTAAAGTGTTCAAATTTTAGATCTTTTTTTCATATATGGAATATTTGAAGAGACTTCTCTATTGAGTGTTTCTAATCTAAAAATATAAAGTCAGAAAAGCTCCAAAACCTGAAACTTTTGAACATCATGTTGATGCTCAGAAGTTTCAGATTTTGGAACATTTTATATTATTATGTTGGGGTGTTTTATTTATATCAATCACGATTGTAAATTCATACATTCTTTGACCCATGAGGAAGAGTGTAAATCATAATGTACACTCATGGACATACAATCTAACAGTAGATAGGAGAATACTCACCGCAGCAGTTTGAAAGGGGACAATGGGAAAAGGTATCATTGGGGATTTTTTTATTATAATTACTGAAACATCCTTATGATGGAATATTATACAGTCACCAAAAGAAAGTACTAAACTACATCCAAGCTATTGAGGGAGAAAAGTAGTACAGAATAGCAGGCACAAAACGGTCCCATTTATGTGAATGATATACAGTACGTATGCATAAAACATTTCTGGAAATATTTTTAAACATGGGGAATGGGGAGTCAAGAAGGGAATAAGGCAATTTTACTTTTTGTGACATGTATCTCTTTTAAATTAACTTTTTTATCATTTGCATATTTTGCATTTATTTACTTAGTTTCTTTCTTTTTTTTTTTTTTTTTGGAACTCTTCCTGTAATACACAGCCTGTTTACATGAGTATGCTCCAGGTGTACCTGTACTTACTGGGTAGGGTGTTGTGTTGTCTGGCAAAAGGTCTCCCTAAGTGGGACAACATCAGGAAATTGCTGGCCCAATTTAGGAGCATCATGTGAGATGTTGTGGGGAGAGGGGGCCCCGGGAAGCCGAGGTCCTCTCTGAACAAGGTGGAGCATTGTTTTAGTTAGCTTTTTCATTGCTAAGACCAAAACACCCAATAAGAACAACTTAGAGGAGGAAAAATCTGGTGCTCACAATTTCAGAGGACTCAGCTCATAGACGGCCGACTGCATGGCTCTGGGCCCAAGTGAGGCAGCACATCATGGGGGACAGGCCTGGTGGAGGAAAACTGCTCAGCTCATGGTGGGGCCAGGAAACAGAGAGGGAATAGGACAGGGGCCACAGGGAAGGAGCACCCTTCCAGGGTACACCCCAGGGGCCCACCTCCCTATAGCTATCACCCAGTCAGTCCACTCAACCTTGGATGGATTGGTTAAAGTTACAACTCTTGCAACCTAATCATTTCACTTCTGAATATTTCTCTATTAACAGGATCTGTGGGGCCCCCCTCATATCCAGACCATAATGAACACAAGTCAGTGAACCATCTGGATTAGTACTGAAATTTCTTGGTTTTTATGGACTGGTGGGATCTAGAAAAGCTTGGACCTCAAGGATAAAAGTTATCTCTCCAGCCCTCCAGTCACTGCCCAGTTCTGGTGAAAGTTTTAAGTAGAATTGCTCCTAAACAAGCTGGGGCTGAAGATAAATATGTTGTCCATCAGTGGAAGGAAGCAGGACTTGGAAAATATTAGTTTGTGAGCACAAAACCCCAAAGATAAAAGACCAGTTCTTGGATTTTATAGACATCTTGGGATTTATTTTCTAAACAGTTGTGCTGGCCTGCACAGAGACAGGATGATTGGGTCTTGTAGTGAGATTCTACAAGACGACATCTCAGAATGCAGAGATTTGGCTTCAGATTGCTTTTCCAGCAAGAAAAGTGAAGCCCCATCCTGTTGGCGATTCATCTTGCAGTTGTGGATTGAAGTCGCTGAAGAAGTTGCATTTATATGAAACATCCTAAAGACTACTCTATCTTGGATGGTGATTGTGGAGAGATAGAATGCTGCAGGTTAAGAGACAAAATTTTCTTGGACTATCTTAACTCCTTGAATAGCCATTTACCTTAACTTAAAAAAAAAAAAAACTAATCCCACATTCTTGTAAATAATAGATGAGCTTCTAAGAATATATCTCTATATGCAAACCTCCAGTGCCCACTTACCCTAAAGCTAAGGCTGTTGAAAGATTCCATCTGAAACCATAGAAGAGATGCTCTCCTTTCTGTAGCCCCCCACCTCAAGCTCCTACCAGTGTAATTGGTCAGTTTATTAATTGATTGATGACCTTTTTTGATGATTAAAGTTCATGTAACTTTTATAAGTTCTTCCATGATGGCCCATACATTCAGGAAACTTGAAACCATCTTCCTGGGCCATGGTAATTTAACATGGAAAATTAATATGGTAAATTAGCATGGTAATTTAACATTTAACTCAGAAATAAACAACTTTCTTAGTTCCTACAAAGCAGTCTTCCCTCCCTCCCTTCCTCCTCCTCCTCCTCCTCCTCGTCCTCCTCCTTCCTCCTCCTCCTCCTCCTCCTCTTCCTCCTCCTCCTCCTCTTCCTCCTCCTCCTCCTCTTCTTCTTCTTCTTCTTCTTCTTCTTCTTCTTCTTCTTCTTCTTTTCTCTCTCTCTCTCTCTCTCTGTCTCTCTCTCTCTCTCTCTCTCCCTCCCCCCCCCCCTCCCCACCTCCCTCTTTCTTCTTTGTTTGACACAGTCTCACAGCCAAAGTGTGTGGCTTCATAGATAGTATAATAGTTCCAAATGAACTCAAGTGTTTTAGCTCCAAATCTCATGAACTCTCATAAATAACAGTTCTCAAACTTTAACAGGCATCCGAATTGCCTGGAAAAGAGTGTTGAAAGAAATGGCTATCTGGGTCCCATCCCCAGGGTGTCTGATTCAGTAGGGCCCAGGGTGGGATTCAGAATTTGTAAGTTCTCAAATGACACTGTTGGGTCTTATGAACACACGTGGAGAACTTCTGGTTTATAAATATACTTCACCAATTTTTTCCCCTCTCTCATCGACAATGCGCACATCCTTCAGTCTCATGCTCACCTAACAACCTGCCTAAAAGACATCTTTAATGATCACTGAGACTTGAATCCCCTTCTCCTTTTCCTAACACCAAAGAACTCCTTTGGCAATGGCAGAAGCTTCCTTGAAAGGGTGTGCAGGAGAAAACACTGAACAGGCAAAACCAGGGGCCTCTTTTGCAGTCAGAGAGAGAACTGAGAATATCCCAGGGTTAATTTTTGTGGTCATCTATCTTCCATCAGGGTCTGGGGCACTGGTGGTAAGCAGGGATGGGAGTGGGGGAGGGGAGGGGCTTTGGTCTCTGAATCTCCCTGTGGCTGCTTAAGGATGGGGGTATCAGAGAATCTTGGTGGCCCCATTCCCAGAAGGAGAAAAACAGAAATCTCCACTGTTTGTTTTTAGAAGCCAGTGGGGCCTGGCTTCCTGCAGAGCCGCTCACAGCTCTTCTTTCTTGCTTTTTATTCTCCTCCCCTGTACCTCCTGGGGGATGATTCCTTTCATCCAGGGGCTGCCTTCTGAAGCAGCACACCAGGCCACACACACAGTGATTATCCCAGAGGGGCCCAGGACCCCTGGGGCAGCAGGAGCAAGGGAGTATTTTTGTTGGACAATGATGGAAATTTTCTTTTTCCTCTCCATTTCCCTAGTGGAAAATATAAGAAGACAGGAAAGAAGGGAGGAAGGAGGAAGGAAGTCAAGAGAGAAAGAATCAGGTTCAGAGTGTAGATAGGGGGTAGGGCTTGAACATACCCTGTTTAAAAAAATGATCCCTCCTCCTTCTCTGGGCAATACTAATCTCCTAGGTAAAGTAGCTTTTGCTCAAATTTAAAAGTACTTTTCTAAAAAACAAAATCCAAAACAAAACTAAAAAAAAAGGAGACTCAGCCCAGCTGTTAAACCAGTGGTTTCACAGAGCAGTGTTTCTTACATCTTGAGGCCTAAAGGAGTCCTCATTGTTTTGAAGATAGCCCTTTATCCAACACAGGCGAGAAGCCTGAAACTGGAGGTAAAACTTTCTAAGACAGAAAATATTTATTCTGTGGTGCTGACCAAGGCCATCCACTGCAGAGAGCTGGGTTGCTGCAGGAAGACCCACATTATAAGCCAGGTCCTACTGCCTACCAGCTCTCAAGGGGATTTCTAAGGAAGTGTACTCTTCACTCAATCAACAAGCATTTATTGAGCACCAACTCTTGTGCTGAAATTCAAAGATATAGACAATATCATTCTGTTCCCAGGGGATTTGAAGTTCAATAGAAGAGATGGATAAATCTACGGATAATTACAATATAGCTATAAGAGGGGTGGGAAACATGTTGTGTTCCAGCAGCATGCAAGGGGGCCGTAGCATCAGTTTGGTTGGAAGAGGTTTCCTGGAAGAGGCTATAGTTGAACTGAGCCTGGAACAAGGAGTGGGAGGGGTTGGGGGCCCAGAAAGAGCCTCCTAAGCAGAGAGAATAGAAGGCATGTGCTCCAGGGCCCTGAAATTGCATAAATTACAGAGGGAATTGCAAATTGTGTCGGATCACAGGGTCTCTGGGGGTGTGATGTGGATAGGGTCAGGTCACAGAGGCTCTGTGTACTGAGGCCAAGTTTCAATTAACCAAAGCTGCAAAGAGAAATTTTGCATAATTAGTTATAATAATAATAATTACAATCATCATCATGATAACTACATTTATTGAGCCCATCCATGGCTATCATTTAACTCTCATAACAGCCTCAAGAGATAGGTACTGATATTCCACCTGTTCAAACTGATGAGGAATTTGAGGCTCAGAGAGGATCGGCAACTTGGAGATGTGCTGGTGAGATTCCCAACCCCATCAGATCCCGAAGCACCTTTTAGTGACTGATATTTTTTTAAATTGCCTTATTAATATGAAATAAAATTCAAACTGAACAGAATCCATTTTAGAACATACTTAAAATATGTATAATGCCCATCTGTAACCTAACTTAAAAATGAAGAAAAATAATTTAGAATAAAATAATATGTATTTCCATATGGGAGCAGTCAGACCTGACTGTTCTAGAAACAAAATAGTCAGTGGTTGAACTTATATATAGACTCACCTTAAATGCAAAGCTGCAGATGTAGACAGATACCTGTGTGTTGAAGGAATGAAGTCTACACTATGAGCATCGAGGCTGATGGTAAACCCATCGTTTTGAAAAGGTGATGCATCCTTGGGAAAGTTCTGAGTCACAAACTACAAAGTTCCCTCAAAGACTGATGGCAGAACTGCAGTGTGGACCTCTATCAGCTAATCCAAAGTTTAGGATGATTGCTTCCCATGGAGATGACTTCATATCTCAGGGGCACCAGGGCCAGACTGGGAGGGGTCTGGAAGAACTCTGGGAGAGCTGGGTGTGGCTATGCAGAGTCCCATCTGTTCCCCCCCACCACCACTGGAGTTTGCAATGTTGAGTTGTTTGCTTGCTTAATACTGTATTTTTCCCAATGAGTGGGATCTCTTCAGTTCTGGGCTCCTGACTGAGTTTTCCTGCTCCTGCCATGGAGATTTCCAAGTCTTTTGACAAGTATGCATCAGAACTCCAGCCCCATCTACAAGTTCTGCTGATGGAGCACATATAGCACGGCCTGTCATACTTAATAAGACACCGAAAATGACAAATTGTTCATCAATTGTCCAAGTATTTGTCAAACCTCTATTTTGTGTGTATGATCTATTGTTTCTAACAAACCACTATAAACCTTAGTGTCCTAAAGTCCCTAAACCCTATGGGTTGAACAATATGTGTTTCTCCTTGATATGGTGTTTGGTGGGGCACTTATTTACCAGTTGATCAACTAAGAGCTTTATTTCTCCTTTATGTAAGCCCCTCCACATAGTTGCTTGAGTTTCCTCACAGTATGGCTGCTGAATTCCTGAAAGAAGCTCTCTAAGAACAGGCAGAGGCTGCAGGTCTTTGAAGGCACAGCTCTAGTGTTACACAGCACCACTTCTGCAGCTTCCTAATAGTCAAAACAAGTCACAGGGTCATCCCAGATTCAAGGAGAAGTGAAATAGACTATATCTTTTAGTGATTAGTTGGAAGGAATGTATGGTCCTCTTTACTTCACCAGAACCTACCATATACCAGGCACTCCTATCTACCTCCTCTTCAAGAACACTGATGTTTCATGTTAGTGAATGTTTCTGGGTGTGTTTTGTGTATGTACATTTCAGAGTCATCTTAATACTGTGTCTATAAAGCTTAGAATAATATATATATATATATATATATATATATATATATAAAACATAACACAAGAAGAAGTGGTCAATCAGCTACACAAGTAGATATGTACATAGAGAGACTCTGGATGGAAGTTCTTGATGCCATACGAGCCTGAATCAGGGGCATAAAGCCATAACCTAGAAAATCAGAAAAAAATCTGATATAGTAACATTCAAGCTGAGATCTGAAGAATCCATGGAGCTATTTAAGTTATATGTCTGCAATGGACATAGTATATCCTCAAGTAATATTTGTTGAGTGAGTGAATGAATCTTAGCCATATTATGACAGTCTGAGCCAAGAAAGTCAGGGGTGCTGGAGAACAGAGAGGATGGAGGGTTTTGGTGTGAAGTAAGTTCAGAGGAGGATAGATGTGCAGATGCTGGTGTTAAGTATGTGGGTCTTCAGCCCTCGAGTAATGGATTTGAAGCCAGAGCAATTTGGTTCAGTAAGGTCTGGGCTTTGAGAAGGTCGTCTGACTGTAATGTAGAGAATGAAATGTTTGGAGGCGTAGGTGGTGGGTGGGAGGAGCAGAGGTTGAAGGGAGGAGGGAGATTGGAGGGTGCTATGTAGTGGACCATGAGAGTGGTGTAGGACACACCCACCAAACCACAGGGAGTTAGCAAGAACCCTGCAGAGCAAGGTCAGAACACTGGGAAAGAAATGGCTCTTTAGTGGTGGCCACTTCCTCTACTGCCCCAGGAGACTGTGGGAATCTCTCTATAGACTGGACCAACCAGCAGGGCTCTGAGCCCTGGAGGTAAATGGAGACACCCTGGAGAAAAGGCAAAGAAGTGAAGCAAGCAAAACTCGCTACCTCTCAGAGCTGCCATTCTGCCCAGGTACTGCGGTGCCTTCTCCACCTCAGGCTCTGTAGAGGATTATTGATTTCTGCTGCTGAGAATATAACTTTAGCACTTGCTTTCGGGCCTCTCATTTTATGCCGTTCTTGAGACCGTGGCTTTGAAGATCGATGGCTCTGAACAAGACAGAGGAGAGGAGAGCGAGATTTCTCCACTCAAGCTTACGCTGTC